TACTGGGAAGGTGTGAAGTGTGTGCATGATATATATTTCATGCCTTACTTAATAATTAAACTTTGAAACAGAACCTCAAGCGCAAGGATCAGAGAGAGTGTCATATCAGAGAAGGGCCGAGTGGAATTCTGGCAACAGCCTTGACTCCTGCTACATTCTCGTTGGCCACATCATTGCTGTCTGAGCAACAGGGCTCTCTCCAAGGGCAAAATGGCTCATTCCCTCCCCATCTCCCCGTCCTCTTGTCAACAGTGAAAGGAGGTATCCTCTAGAATCCCTGTGTACCCCCACCCATGACTTTAATATTTAAAGACACCCTGGGGCAAGGGTGGGTGGAAGGGAGAGACAGAGAAGAACTGACATTTGCTCTGCATTTTAAAATGAAGCGACCTAATTTGCACCTCCCTAACTACTAAACAGATCAGAATGTCATTGTCCTTTGGATTTTGTACTGCTCTGAACTTTGTGATACAATTCCTGGCTCAATAACCACGTGGGGATGCATACACTGAGATGAAATACAGATTTAAATATATTTCTTGTGCTACAGTATTTGTTTAAATATCGACTTATGTAAAGACACATCCAGAATTGACACAGGCCAGAAAATAATCCCTAGCAAAAGGCAAATTGAAATCGGCTTATAGATCTCTGGGTGATCACTATCACTTTCTGACTTCCAATTGTTTAAGAACAGTAGCAACCCAAAAAATATTCCTCCTTTCAGTTAGGCTGCTGAGATGAAGAAAACTTGGGAGGAGAGGAAACTGGGTTTTTGTGTGTGTGACTGGACTGTGAGCTCACTGCTAGTGCTCAAAACAAATCTGAGCATGTGCTCGGAGGCATTCTGGTCCTTAAATTATGTCTCCAGCCCCGCCCTAAGCTGCTCTATTGCACTGGGCTCTGATTGGTAGACCTTGGGCATCTTCTCTGCATCCAGCATGTTCCAGGTCCAATGCAATCCCGATGGAATCTCCATCCCCGATGGAATCTCCAGGTAGAGTTGATGGGGGTAAAAGACTCATGCCTTCACCCTGGAGAGCTGTTGCCAGTCCATGTAGACAAGATTGAGAAGCTAGATGAACTTCTGATCTGGATAAGGCAGATTCCTACGATCCTAGTAAAGGATAACTATGGCTGCACATGTTTGAAGTCTGGCTACACCATTGCTAGGGAAATGTAGTGTGCCATGGGAGGGGGGAGGCAGCAGAGAGAACTCATCTTGGTTTGGGAGTGGCTGAACCTGGCCGAAGGAATTGCCCTCTGTGTTTCCCTCCTTGACATGGCCCCTGACAGAAATGTTGGGCCCTCTACCTCTTGTGGCCTTTTGCCCCCCACTGCAATTGCTGGGGAGCACAAGTGGAGAGAGATGTTTCTGTTGTGGTTGCCCCCCACTCCATGTCCTGCTTGTTGGCTTCTTCTTCTTGGGGCATCTGATGAGAACAGGATGCTGGACTCAATGGGATCCTTTGACGTGATCCAGCTGCAGCCAGACACTGGGCTGTCCTGTTCTTACACAGGCTTGTTGCTCTGGGCCAGGCATAGGCAAACTCAGTCCTCCAGATGTTTTGGGGCTACAGCTCCTATCATCCCTAGCTAACAGGATCAGTGGTCAGGGATGATGGGAGTTGTAGTCCCAAAACATCTGGAGGGCCGAGTTTGCCTATGCCTGCTCTGGGCTGTCTCAGAAGGCTTCTGGTGTCTGGCAAGGAATGCAAATGATCCTGTTCTGAGTAATATGAGGCCCCATCCAGCCAAGCGGTTCTCCTGCACAGCAACCACGTTGAAATGAATGCAAGCAGCTCTGGAGCTCTGCTGGGCTCTTTTGCATCTGTTCTGCTGCCCAGATTAAGATGGTTTCAAAAAAAGGTGAATCCGTATTAGGGGCCATAGGGAAAGGAGTCAAAAGTAAAGTTGCCAAAGTTGTCATAATGCCGTTATACAAGAGAATGGTGCAACCCCATTTGAAATACCGTGTACAAAATGTTGGTCAGAAATTAAAAAAGATTTAGAGATTTGGTCAAGATTGAAACTTTCCTTGTTGGGTCGAATTGCAGCTATAAAAATGAATGTATTGCCGAAGATGTTATTTTTGTTTCAGACCCTACAGATCGTGGACAGAGTGGAATGTTTTGGAAAGTGGCAGAAGGATATTTCTAGGGTTGTCTGGCAGGGCAAAAAGCCCCGAATAAAATTTAAAATACTAACCGATGCAAAAGAAAGAGGGGGGTTTGCCCTGCCAGATTTAAGGTTATATTATGAAGCTGCGGCTTTCTGCTGGATGAAAGATTGGCTATTACTTGAGAACACTGATGTCCTAGATCTGGAAGGGTTTAATAATGCGTTTGGATGGCATGCATACCTGTGGTACGACAAGGTAAAGGTTCATAAAATGTTCAAAAACCATATTGTCAGGAAAGCAATATTTATGGTCTGGACAAAATATAAGGACTTACTAGAAGGTAAGACCCCGAGGTGGTTATCACCAGCGGAGGCCAAGGTCCGAAAGAGACCCAGTATGGAGGCTGGCTGGCCTAAATATTGGGAAATAATAGAAAAAATTGGAGACAACTGGAGGCTGCAGAGCTTTGAAAAATTAAAGAATAAGGTGCAAGATTGGCTTCATTATGCTCAAATCCAAGAGGTTTTTAAGTTGGACAAAAAAATAGGATTCCAGGTGGAAAAATCGAAATTAGAGACAGAACTGTTGGAACCTAAGACCAAGGTACTTTCGAGAATGTATAACTTGCTGCTTAAATGGAACACTCAAGACGAGACAGTTAAATCAGCCATGATAAAATGGGCTCAGGATATTGGGTACAACATTATGTTTGAAGACTGGGAAAGGTTATGGACCACTGGAATGAAATTCACGGCATGTAATGCCCTGAAAGAAAATATTATGAAAATGATATATAGGTGGTACATGACCCCAGTCAAACTTGCTAAGATACATCATCTGTCTGATAATAAATGTTGGAAATGTAAGGAGGCTGAAGGGACATTCTTTCACCTCTGGTGGACTTGTCCAAAAGTGAAGGCCTTCTGGGAAATGATTTATAATGAGCTAAAAAATATATTTAGGTATACCTTTCCCAAGAAACCAGAGGCCTTCCTCCTGGGCATTGTTGGCCAGAAGGTGTTAAAGAAGGATAGATTTTTTTTAATGTATGCAACTACAGCAGCAAGAATTCTTATCGCAAAACATTGGAAGACACAAGATCTACCCACGCTGGAAGAGTGGCAGACGCAATTGATGGACTATATGGAATTGGCTGAAATGACTGTCAGAATCCGAGATTTGGGAGAAGAAACAGTGGAAGAGGACTGGAAAAAATTTAAGGACTATTTACAAAAATATTACAAGTTGTATGAATGTTAAAAACTGCACGATTTGGAAGTTTTAGCTTCAGCAATTAGATTCCTGAAACAGGAAATTAAGTTACAAGTAAGAAAAGGTTGAAATTTAAAGTATTACTATGGTTGATTTAAGGTACAAGTAATTGACAAAAAGTATTTTAAATTTAAAAATATAATATTTGAAAGGTACAAAATAAGATGTGGAAAAAGGTAATAATTTGCTGACATTTTTATTGTAAAGAATGCATGGTAGGGGAGATGTGAGGAAGTCCGGTTGGTTATGTAAAAATGTTTTTGAAAATTGGATTTTTTCTTTTTTCTTTCTTTGTTTCTTTTATTTCTTTTCTATGGCTTTTATATCTCTGTTTGTGTATCTGAAAATGTAATAAAAATATTTAAAAAAATAATAATGAAATACCGTGTACATTTCTGGTTGCCTCACCTTGAAAAGGATCTTGTAGATGTGGGAAAGGGCAACCAAAATGATCAAGCGGTTGGAGCAACTCTCCTGTGAAGAAAGGTTGCAGTATTGGGAACTTTTCAGTTTAGTAAAAAAAGGCGAATAACAGGCTAGAAGTGTATAAAAGTACGGAGAAAATGGAGAGAAATATTTTTTCTCCCTCTCCCATAATACAGCAGTGTCATCCAGTGAAGCTAAATACAGTGGTACCTTGGGTTACATACGCTTCATGTTACAGACATTTCAGGTTACAGACTCCACTAACCCAGAAATAGTACCTTGGGTTAAGAACTTTGCTTCAGGATGAGAACAGAAATTGTGCTCTGGCAGTGTGGCAGCAGCGGGAGGCCCCATTAGCTAAAGTGGTGCTTCAGGTTAAGAACAGTTTCAGGTTAAGAATGGACCTCCGGAACAAATTAAGTTCTTAACCCGAGGTACCACTGTAGTGAGTGATTCAGCTTCCCACAGAGAGCCAGTGTGGTGTAGTGGTTAGAGCGTCAGACTAGGACCTGGGAAACCAGGGTTCAAATCGCCACTCAGCTACGAAGCTCACTGGGCAATCTTGGGCCAGTCACGGTCTCTCCGCCTAACCCTTCCTCACAGGGTTGTTGTGGGGATTAAATGAGGAGGGAGGAGAACCATGCATACCACTTTGAAGGAAAGATGGGATTTATATGCAATGAATGAATGAATGAATGAATGAATGAATGAATGAATGACCCAGGACAGACAAAATGCAATACTTCTTCCACCCTTGCAGATTCCAGGCTGATACACCTGGAAATGGCTTCTTGGTCTTAGGCTCAAATGAATCACCTAACGATCTTACCCATCACAGGCCTTGTTGCCATAAACCAATAAAAGAGTTCTGGTTTCTACTTGATGTGCTTCAGCAGTTTGCTTGTGAATGACCAGCCTTTCAGTGCCTCGCTCAGAAAGCAAAACAAGAGATGAATAATCCCATTAAGCAACCCTTAATTGAGAATTAATTTCCTTCCTTGAAGAAGAATAGAAAACAAATCTGTCATGCCTTGCAAAGCCATGTTAAGTGCAAAATAAATATCTGGCCTGCTGGGGGATTGCAAGACCTGACCGCGCAGGGGTCCCTCAAATCTTACCCCTCCACCACCGCTTAGTTAGCTCACCATTAAATTCTCCTTTCTTTGCTCTCTCCTTGCAGTCTGCTGCTTCGTCGTCCACAAGAGGTGCCATGAATTTGTTACCTTCACTTGCCCTGGTGCAGACAAGGGCCCTGCCTCAGATGTAAGTAAACTCCTCAACTAAGTTCCGTCTTGCGGGGCGAGGTAGGTGAGATGTTCTAAAAACAGTGAGGGCAGGTTGGAAGAGCACCCTGGCAAACTGTCCTTCTGCACTTCCTCCCTGCGTCCCGGACCATTTGCCCTCCGTTAATGAGAAAATAAGTGCATCCAAAAATGATCAAAGGAGAGACAACATGTTGGTGGGATTCTGACTCCAGGTTTCGGGGGTTTTCTTCTGCTTACCTTACTTCTGAGGTGGCTGCCGGGTGCTTGTGAACCTCCCTTCTTTCATTCTGCAGATCGTCTCTGATGGGCTGTGTTTTGCAGCTTTTCTTACATTGTTTGTTTTTGTTATTTTGCTTTTGAGATCTAGTGTGGCATAATGGTTAGAGTATCGAACTAGGAGCTGGGAAGTAGCACTTGGCCATGAAGCTCCCTGGGTGACCTTGGGCCAGTCGCTGCTTCTCAGCGTAACCTACCTCAAAGGGCTGTTGTGGGGATTAAATGAGGAGCTGGAAAAGGGTGGGATATACCTACCTACCTAGGTAAAGGTAAAGGGACCCCTGACCATTAGGTCCAGTCGTGGTCGACTCTGGGGTTGTGGCGCTCATCTCGCTTTATTGGCTGAGGGAGCAGGCGTACAGCTTCTGGGTCATGTGGCCAGCATGACTAAGCCGCTTCTGGCGAACCAGAGCAGCGCACGGAAACGCCGTTTACCTTCCTGCCAGAGAGGTACTTATTTATCTACTTGCACTTTGAGGTGCCTTCGAACTGTTGGTTGGCAGGAGCAGGGACCGAGCAACGGGAGCTCACCCTGTCACAGGGATTCGAACCGCCAACCTTCAGATCAGCAAGCCCTAGGCTCTGAGGTTTAACCCACAGCGCCACCCACGTCCTACCTACCTACCTACTTACCTTTTATTTACTTACTTATTTCATTTGTGCCCCGCTGTTACAGCCTTGCCTGGAGATGCCATTGGGGATTAAACCTAGGGCTTTCTGCATGCAAAGCAGATGTTATTTCAATGAGCGGTGGGGAGGAACAGGAGCAGCTTGTGATCTCCCCCCACCAACCCCACTGAAATGCTCTGTCTCTCTGCTCAATCTCACTTTTGTTGGCCTGTCCAGGGAGCTTGAGTTGGGCTGTTCCACCTTGCTTTTCTTTGGCTCAGTCTGCAGTTCTTTGCACCTGCAAGGACAGGAGCCTCCTCCTTGCCCATTGACTTTGGGCAATTTGCCTTGGGACTGTCTGGCAATTTGCCTTCACCATGGAAACGGGCTAATTTCTAGCGCTGCCGGGTGATTGATTTTGAGACACTACTGAACCTCCTTGCTCCTACAGCAGCTATTATTAGCCTTTTTGTGATGAGGAGACCAAAATATACCCTCTGGTCTGTGGCCTTTCTGTCAGATTTAGGATCTTTCTTTCTTTCTTTCTTTCTTTCTTTCTTTCTTTCTTTCTTTCTCCCCACCCCTCTCTCTTTTTCTTAAACTTCAAAAAATCTCTCAATTTAGGGAAGCTTTCTGTAACCTTATATCCTCCAGATGTTTTGGATTACAACTCTCAACACACTCAACCAGCACAGCTGTATACCGCTGGGGTTGATGGGAGTTGTAGTACACAAAATATTTGGAGGGCACCCTGTTGGGAGAGGTTGCTGCAGATTGTAAGCATGGCCTGTATTGCTGTGCTGAATTTTTGTGCAGCAATTTTAGGAATAATAACAATACCAGTTTAATAATAAATACCAATGCTGCATGTGCACAATAACTTTTTGGTGGATCAGGCCCCATGCTTTCACTGATTCCTTTACTAAATCTTCTCCAGCTTATAACAGTGCATTTTCTCACCTTTGGTTGAAAACAGCTAAGTTAGGAATGAATCAAGTATAATTATCATGATGATGATGATGATGATGATGATGTATATGCCTCTGACTGGGTTGCCCCAACCACACTGGATGGCTCCCAACAAAAAAAGCATTCTACCATTGAACAGCTCTTACCATCAGAAAGTTCCTCCTAATGTTTAGGAGGAAAGTTCCTCCTAATGTTTCCTCCTTCCTTGTATTCAAATCCATTGATTTGGGTCCTTCCCTCTGGAGCATCAGGGAAAAAAGCTTGCTCCATCTTTGCCAAAGCGCTTTGTCTTTTGAGGAGGCAGTCAGCAGTCCACTAAATCTTCACCTGTACTCATTTGTTAGACTTTTTAAGGTGCTGCAAGACTCTGTTGCTTTTTGCCCCAGCTCACTCTCGAGAGTGCCTTTGCCTTCTGCGAGGAGTGAACAGCTGGAAGACTTAAGAAGACATCTCCTCCGTATGCCACAATCATAAGACCACTTAATCTGCTGGAAGAAGTTCCATTAGCTGTGTTAGTGCTCTCAAGCAGTTCCTTTCCATTTTGATGGGGCTTGGGAAAGCACATTTGCCTGGGTAGTAGGAACACTTCAGCCTGGATGGGCTCCCGGTGGAACGTGCTCAATGGGATGACAGCAAACCAGCAATGCAGAAGCCTGACTTCAGGGCTGGGAGTTCCCCAGTTGGGAGCAGCAGTTGGTGGTGACATCAGACTGCATTTCCAAACCCACTACAGCTCCTTTGTTTGCAAGTAAAGAAAGGTCACTTGGTCTGGTTTAAGCTGAGCACTGGCCATGCAAGAAATCTCAACACACTTACCTGTGTACCAACATTCAGCCTTTACATTCTGCAGACCCATGGTCTAGATCAGCCTTTGCCAACCTGGTGCCCTCAATATATTCTAGGCTGCAGCTGCCAGCAGCCCCAGGCAGCCCAGCTCTACTGCAATTGAAAACCTCTGGAGGCTTGTGACAGGTTGTGGAAGGCTGTTGAACCAGCACGTGAACATTGCCTCTGTGAACACCAGCAATGTGGTTTTAAATGCATCAAGAGTTGCAGAGAGGTCTGCTTATTGTTGCTGTTTAACCACACTAAGGACTCATCCAGACTCCCTTTTGCACTGTGCATTCCAGGCACAGGTCTGAGCTTTCCAGATCTATGCCCGAGCAATGGGTTTTTTGTTTTTTTCTCCTGCTGTTTACTGCTGAATCGGAACAAACAGCAATTGGGTTTCCCATTGATTGCTGTTTGTACCAATTCAGCAATAAATATCAAGCCTGTCTAGGGGGGAAAGAAGCTTAGATATGATCTACAAACTGTGCCTGGAAAGCACAGCACAAAAGGAAGCCTGGATGAGACCTACGTATCACATTTCAACCAGGGTTTACAACAATCAGGATCACGAGGACCTCAAACCTAAAGTTCAGCCGAGGTTCTTCATAGAAATCATGGAACTGTAGAGTTTGAAGGGGCCCCAAGGGGTATCCAGGCCAACCCTTTGCAAGGATGGAATCACAACTAAATAATCTCTGCCAGATGGCCATCCAACCTCCGTTTAAAAACCTCCAACTTTCATTGACACACCAGCTGTTTCTTTGCCAGCACAGAGTAGAATTTGCTTGATTCAGGACTGGAGAAAATGGGGTTCAGCCAAATTTCAGAATCTGTAGTCACACAGTTGTTGTTGGCATTTGTCTGTCTCAAGAGACAATGGGGTTGCCTCCAGGGGTGAAGTCAAACCGCTGTGGGCCACTTGTGTCTATGACGGAAAACCCTGCCGTCCTGAGAAACATGTATATTCACAATGCAATTTTGAGAACAGCATTTCACAGTCTTGGGAGGTGGATGGGGTGGGGGGAGCCATGACTGCAATTGATGAAAACACATTGTGTACAACCTTAAGCTGCTTTGACAGCCTTAGCTGGTTTGGAACTGCAGTAAATGAAACCTCAGGCAAGACAACATCTCCAACATCTCGGCTTTTAATATATGTTTAGGAAGTTCTGATCTAAATCAACCTTCACGATATGGCACCATCCTGATCTTTCAGACTACAGCTCCCACCAGCTCTTCTACCTGGGAGCTGATGGGAGCTGTCATCCAAAACATCTGATTGGCACCAGCTTGTTGAGGTCTGCTCTGGATGCGTTCAAAGCTCTCTCAGGTCTTTTTTCTCTTCATTCGCGTTGGGTGGGATTGAGGGTCTTTGGAGATCAGAAGAGGAGCTCTCTGTATTTGGGCTGCTCAATAGATGGTTTCCTTTTGCAGGGCAGGGGGATCAGTTTGTGCCTTCTTTGCTCTCAGAGCTGGTATCAATCTGAAAATTAAGCTCCCTTTTTTCTAAGAGCATTAAGAGGAAAAAAGGAAAGAATGGAGCCTTTTCCAATTATCTAAAAAAAATAAAGCCCTCATTCCTCAGCCTTGTGCTCTCTTTTGATCTGTCTGCTCCACTTCATGTCAACGCCCTTGAAGAAAATAGGCCCTCTTATCTGTGCGAGGTCTATTCAGCGTAAGGCTCCTTTGTCGAGCAGATAAAGCATAATTATGCCAACTTGGCAATGTCTCTTTAAATAAAAATTAGTCGCATCAAAGGGCAGGGAGTGAAGTTGAGAGCTTCAAGGAAGGCATCCAGAAAAGCCTCAGGGCTGCTTCTTGCCTTTGGCTGAGGGACAACTGGTGTTGCCAGGTCACCTTGCCTGACGTGTGCAGGGCTTGGGTGGCACATCAGGGCACAGTGATGTTTGCAGAAGGTCTCGCAGATCCCCCAGAGTTGTGAACCAGAGGGGGATTCCAAAGTGTTTGGCTCTCCCTGCGCTCCCTTTCCTGAAGCAGCATAAGCATTTGCAAGCATGCAAAGAAAGGGACAAGTGATGCTTTGCCTGCTGGGTTGCTGTTAACAGTGCAGAGAAAAGTCTGCAGCCTTCAACAGCGTTGGCAGCTCTTGGCTTCGTACCTGGATCCTCAGGAAAGCCGAGCACTATCAGGTTAACAACATTGCGATATATCGCCAGCTAAACATTGTGATATACGGATATATCACAATGTCTGAAATAAGGGTGGGGCTATGTAGAGGCATGGGCTGGCTTCACAGTTTTCCCCACATTGTGATTTTGGCATAGCACACACAGACACCACGATTCACGATAT